TTTAAGCATTAGAAAAGATTAAAATTGTATAAAATAAGACTTCATTGCTCTTTGAACATCATCTGGTGGTTATGAGAGTCAGTATAACGCGAGGATTTTGTTCTCCATACAACAGAAATTATGAAATTCAATTCAAGTATGAAAAGCAAATTGTTAAAAAACAAGCTTCTGAAATGGGTGATGTCAGGGCGAGTAATAGACTGTGACGCCTTGAACACACAGGTGTTTCCTTGAGGATGTCTTGAGTGCAAGATCTGACTTGAACTGCATTCTTCTTCCTTGACCTTGAATAGACAAATGAATCAACCCGATGTTCTCCTCTCCCACTCCAATTCCCCACCTTGTGGAAAAATAGAAGTAAATGTGCAACTTCATAAGAACATTCTGTTTTTCTTTGAGCTTTGTAGTTTATGCATTTTGAAATACTGTCCTGTGGGATTACATTACAAGTTTCTGTTTGTCAAAATAAGATGTTATTTGTTGTAATAATCGATTTCTAGCCTAATTTAATTGCAAGATCTTTCTGCTTCAAAAGCTTTTTATGTGCCTTTGTTAACGAAATGCCTGCAAAGAAATAGCAAACTTTTTTAACATCTAGATTCTCACAAAAAAATTATGTTAATGGAATGTGTATATTTTAGGTGCTGTAGAACTTAGTCAGGGGAGCGCCATATTTATTTTTTTGACTTGAATGAAAACGAGGCTGTGAGGGACAGAAGTACAGTGCGTTCAATGGATTGTACTATTGTTTAACGTAATCTCCTGCTTTTAAAGTTGAGTTGTGAAAATTTGGCAGTGCGTGCCATTGTAAAGACTGTAAATCTTTCCCTCACAGCCTCATATGGCGTCTAACTAGTCAGAAGCTTTTCACCATAATCCCCTTTTAGCTTTATTGCAGTATTTAAATAGTGCTGTGGCGTTAAAAATAATAATACAGTAGCCTACTTCTATTCCATATAGTCTTCAAATTAATATGGGGTCATAAAATAGCATGCATAATAATTACACAAGGAGAAGACATTTTTAAAATAGGAAATTTAAAATAGGAAACAAGACATCGCATGTAAGACATACTGTCACGTGCACGGATGTTACCAAATATCCAATACTGAATAGGAAAAAAGTGAATATCTATGTGAATATACGATCACAGTGGTTAACTTATAGCTGCTGTCACGTGTTATGTCAGCTGTCAGATTATAATATACAGGTGCATCTCAATAAATTAGAATGTCGTGGAAAAGTTCATTTATTTCAGTAATTCAACTCAAATTGTGAAACTCGTGTATTAAATAAATTCAATGTTCTAATTTGTTGTGAATTGGTGGGTTTTTGTTAAATGTGAGCCAAAATCATCACAATTAAAAGAACCAAAGACTTAAACTACTTCAGTCTGTGTGCATTGAATTTATTTAATACACAAGTTTCACAATTTGAGTTGAATTACTGAAATAAATGAACTTTTCCACGACATTCTAATTTATTGAGATGCACCTGTACTGTATGTGAATAATGTTGAGTAATATGAGTAAATGTTGCAGTATCTTATATGGCCAGAGGTTGGTGCTCAAGCTCTGTTTATGACTGTAGGAAGTGGCTACATTTTTTTATTTAAAGAAATGATGCCTTTTAAACAGTAGAACATTAAGGAGCATATGCACAAAACTTAAAATGTAACAAAAAAAATGAGTGAATGAATGAACAAACAAATAAATGGACAACACTGACAAATAAAGGAAATACAGACTAAGCCTTACCAATAGCATTACCAAAAATTGCTCATATTGCTTCATGAATCTGTCACATTTGTATCAGGCTCCTAATTAAACAAGAGATTTGAAAAGTGAGTCTACCTCAATCAAAAAAATAAATAAAAAGACATTAGAATCAGAATCAGAATCAGAATTAGCTTTATTCGCCAGGTGTGTGCAAACACACGAGGAATTTTTTAAGGTGCTTCTCTTTACAGTTTTCACTACAGGCTTAGCAGATTTGAGTTTCTGCCTGTAGGCTGGTAGAAGATGAACCAAACAGTGATCAGAGAGTCCCAGAGCTGCTCGGGGTACAGAGCATTATAGGAAGTGACTACATGTTCAACAATGAAAAGAGTCTCTTTTATCTTTTAAATGTGCTCCTAATAGCTGTATTGTTCAAATGATTTGCCAGAATGACTCCATTAAAAACAGTTCTGCACATGGACAGAGACTCTGAATGCAGCAGGAGATTTTGGCATGAGCACTCATTCATTCACTCACAGACAGTCTGTCTATGAGGATGACAGAGACGCAGAGTGCCAAATGAGGGCCCATGGAAACTGGCACATGATGAAAGCACAAGCCATTTCTTTTTATATCAAAGCAGAATAGAGTGACAATAATGGGATCCTCAGCAGAATAGCTGTCTTGCTTAGACATTCACATAAAAGCACGTGTAGCGCTGTTTTTAGTGCCATTTCAGTTATGTAAGTATTTAACTTCACAGACTTCGACGCTGTATTGTTCAAATGATTTGCCAGAATGACTCCATTAAAAACAGTTCTGCACATGGACAGAGACTCTGAATGCAGCAGGAGATTTTGGCATGAGCACTCATTCATTCACTCACAGACAGTCTGTCTATGAGGATGACAGAGACGCAGAGTGCCAAATGAGGGCCCATGGAAACTGGCACATGATGAAAGCACAAGCCATTTCTTTTTATATCAAAGCAGAATAGAGTGACAATAATGGGATCCTCAGCAGAATAGCTGTCTTTCTTAGACATTCACATAAAGGCACGTGTAGCGCTGTTTTTAGTGCCATTTCAGTTATGTAAGTATTTAACTTCACAGACTTCGACGGAAGGACAGAGAGACTGAGAATCGAAAGCAATAGAAGCGAGTCGCTTTGACGTGATGCGGAGAAAGAGAAATTCCTTTCTGGAATTCCCCGCGTGCGCAAATGCTCGAGGCCAGATTGTGTTCTTCATTAAAGGGGGTCATATGATGTTGCTAAAAAAGAACATTATTTTGTGTATTTGGTGTAATGAAATGTGTTTATGCGGTTTAAGGTTCAAAAACACATTATTTTCAGCATATTGTACATTATTGTTTCTCCTCTATGCCCCGCCTTTCTGAAACGCGTCGATTTTTACAAAGCTCATCGGTCTGAAAAGCGTTTTACGTGTTGCATTGCATCGCGCCGCGTAAACATAAAACCATGTCTGCATTTGTGATCAGAGAAACGACAAACAACAAGCGCTACTCCAGACTGCCCAAAACTCATGTTTGAATCATCAGTGGCAAATCCTTTAAACTTGAAAACGTACTTACAGACTGCGAGTCAGAACAGCCAGCATTGTAGTCTACTCCCAGGAAACAGTCCTCCATAAAATGTGCTGCACACATCTGAATATTTGGGTTGAAGTGTTCTGGAACAGTGTTGTAAATACAACTTAACCACTGATTTCTAGTCGTGTCCTCTTTTGGAAGGCCAAACAAAGTAGTTTCACTTTCACAACGAA